TTTATATTATACTTAATATTGAAAATAAATTGTTCAAACCATACATAATCACATATTTTCTACATAAATTCAAAAACAGTAGATTATAAGTTTAATATTCACCATACTTTAACTTAACTAGTGACGGTCAACTTTTGCACATCACTGAATTTAAAGTCAGTGAACATAGTTTATTGTTTTTTTCAATGCAAAACCCTAAGTATGTATTCACGATTTTCTGTTTTTCAATATTTGATGTACATTTATGATGTACATGTACATGTATTTATGATTTATTGATGTACATGTACATTTCAGTTAGTATACAATAACTGATTATTCACATTTCTAACAAATGTGATTAACAATATAATACGAAACTCCATATAGATATGTTATCATTAATGTATGTAAGTAAAATCACAATCTCTTAAAAAAGACTGATGTCACACATACTGAAACATTTATTAACAAAACTTGAAAACATACTACTACTTGCATAAACATCTTGGCTTATAAAATTCTGGATTAGCTTTGATACAACTTTTGTACGTTATGTTCATATTACTACTAGTTCAGTATGTAATATTTTGTATAGCTTATAAACAAAAAAGTTTGTGAACAATTATTGTATTTCACTGAATTCATCATACTTTAAAACATTTTACACTCACTATTCACTAAGATTAAGCTGTGCCCAACATTCAGCAATTGGTTAAAAGTTCAGACATGGTCAGTCTACAAATATTCGGAAAATATAGCTTGAAATATTTTCAAAAAGAATGCTAGTTTGACTATGATTAGTTCAGTTCTACTTGTTACTTTTAATACTTATGATATCTACTTAGACTTTAAAAAAAATAATTTAAAAAACATTTGAAGCTATATTTTCTGAATATTTAGACTGACCCTGTCTGAACTTTTGACTAATTCTTGACCATTAGCCTATAGAACCTAAGTAACACAATTCACGTAATAACACCATCCGCCAATACAAACACTATTTTTAGTAACACAAACCACCTATAGAAACACAGTCCACCTTTCTGAAAAGTATTTAATATTTTAATTGTAAAGAGAAAGTGTAAACACAATGTTGAGAAGTTAGATTAAATTATTAATTTTAAAACTTTAATTGTTACTATAAAGTTAATGCCATGTTGATCTATCTGCACTCTTATACTAACACGCCCTTTGGTGCGACTTCATGGCCCTAGCAAAGCGCTCTCTGTTGTGTAACACTCGAACTATGATATCATGGCGGCATTACAACTTCCGCCTGTCATGTCGGCCTAGCAACATGTCCCTAGCAATACGTCCTCTGGACAACTTCTGTTGTCAAGTATCATGATGGCCTAGCAACGCGCCCTCTAGATTCATTTCGTTGAACTAGCCCGGCCTGGCCAGGTGGTTAGGGCGCTCGACTCGCAATCTGCGGGTCGCTGGTTCGAATCCCCGTCACACCAAACATGCTCGCCCTTTCAGCCGTGGGGGCGTTATAATGTGACGGCTAATCCCACTATTCGTTGTTAAAGAGTTGGCAGTGGGTGGTGATGACTAGCTGCCTTCCCTCTGGTCTTACACTGCTAAATTAGGGACGGCTAGCGCAGAAAGCCCTCGTGTAGCTTTGCGCGAAATTCAAAAATAAACAAACAAACAGACATCGTTGAATTATGACATCATTACCTCTACCCCTCCACTCCCTATTGCCTGAAGTCGACACACGTGTCGCCCTCTTGTTGCGTGTCGCTCAATAATCTCCCTAACTACTGTTAGTACTGTTATTAAACAACGATCTACTTCCTCATATTAGAACCAAACCTGTTAATACTGTTAATACACCGTGATCTACATCCTTACATTAGAACTAAACTTATTATTACACAACAATCTACTTCCTTACATTCAAGCCAAATCTGTTAGTATTTTTATTAAACGATATAATTCCTCATATATGAACCAAACCTGTTAGTACCGTAATACACAACGATCTACTTCCAAACATCAGAACCAAACCTGATAGTACTTTTATTAAACAACGATCTACTTTCTCACATAGAAATAAAATCAGACATAGATATAAAATTTATCATTCTCCTCCTGCCTCCTCCTTACACTTTTCATACTTTTATATTGCTAACAGAGACGCGGAGCACATTTGCGATCAAATTAGTATTGTTACGTCTCTGGTCGTTTGTTAATTTCCCGTAAAAATTCTTTCCGAAGAAGTTCAGAGATACAAGTCCTTTCTTAAATAAAACTAGTTTATTCTTTCTCAATACAACTTTGCAATACACAGAATTTCCACAGTCACTTTAACTTAAACACACGCTATAATTCACGCAGTTACTTACGACTTGACTCGATTATCTGTCTCTATATCTCCCTGTCTGCTATTATCTATGCCGTCACTTCTTCCGCTTTATTTGCCGGGCTTATACATACAAAAACAGAGGGCATCTGGCAAACACTCGAGCCTTCGTGATCCTTCTAGAAACTCATCACGTGTTATCAGCGTCACGTGACTTCTGCTGTCGTAACACTGCCTCTTCCTTAG